AAGCAAAACGATGGGCAGTTCACAGTGATCCAGCTGGTGGGCATGTTGCGGGGCATCGCAGCTGGCATGAAGTACCTGGCTGATATGAACTATGTGCACCGGGACCTGGCTGCCCGCAACATCCTGGTGAACAGCAACCTGGTCTGCAAAGTGTCTGACTTCGGCCTCTCCCGCTTCCTGGAGGACGACACCTCTGATCCCACCTACACCAGTGCACTGGTAACACTGCTCTTGCAGACCAGGAGGGGTGGGTGGTGAAGGGTGTCAGGGAGAGAGGATGGGGCAGATCACTCCTTGACATGGCAAGTGTTTTTTGAGAGTGCCAGCAATGGAAATAAGGTGCCAGATGGGAAGGACCAATGAAATGAACCAAGGAATATTTTTCTCTTGCAAGGTCCTGTCCAGTGGCTGTTGATAGGCCCTATAGTCATTCCTGTAGGTAACTGAGAGCCGCCTTCTTTTTGTTTTGTTTTGTTTTTACCGTCACTGTCCAGTCGTGCTGCCTTGCTGTCTGGGAGGCCATGATCCTTTTTCATGTCATGTCACAGGCCCAGCCCCAGAACAACAGACTGAAGTGTGGATGCATGCTGGGCTTCCCTGCAGAACTGGATACAGTTCTCCCAGAGAGTCTGTCTGAATTAGACAGAGAAACATTCCCAGAAATTGTGTAATGATCACATAACAGCTTCCCAGGAACACCACGGTGCCAATGACACAAGTGCCACCAAGGACTCATGACCTGTCTCAAGTTACAGAACATGCACTGGGGGCAAAGGACAGCTTGGAGACTTTGTTGCTGCTCAGTAAGATTGCAGCCAGGAGTTCTCATAAATTCCATTGCTTGCAAAAGCATCGCTCTACAGTGATGCTACAGGATCCATGCCTACATACAATGCCTATGGAAAAAAGAGTTGATAGAACTGGGGCATGTTCTGTAGGAAGTAATCTCTCCCAGATCTTTTGATGCTGCCAGTAATTAGATATCTGGCATAGCTTGTAGTGAATTGTAATGGTAGTTGAATACCAAACAAGCACCTAAAAATGTGTGCTTTTATTCTCATCTGAACTTGTGTAGCTTCAAGCACCAACCATTCGATTTTATACAGTCATCCTATGGCTTTTAGAAACACTAGCAACATTTGTTTTTCACAACATGTTCCTTACATCCAATTAACTTTCCCTTCGTTAAGCTCAATACTTGGGAACTTCTGGTGTTTACTGCTATTTTCTATTCCTGTTATTGTGCCTGTAGCTTTTCTCTGTGTCATCTCTAATTTATTCTTCTTGAACTGTGGGCACTGTTGCAGGACATATATTATCTATAATGATAGAATATGTGCACCCGCTATGACTGAGTACCAGTATCTTCCTCTTCAAAATGCACCATCCTTAAATGTCCCAAGATACATGAGTGTTTTTTATTATAATTATTCCAGAGACCTCTATGGCTTGGGTGCTTCATGCTGAACCTTAGGAAAATCTCTTTCTCCAACAGTGTGGTGGAGCTCTGGGTCAGATCACCAGAGAGGTGGGAGGTCTCACTGAAGTGAGTTCCCACAAGGATCTTCCAAATACACACACTCTGTAATTTCTACTTTAGGACTTCTTTTTTTGTTTTTGCATTTTTACATCCAATGCTTGTCAGGAGCTCTGTTAAGAGTATACCTGATGGAGAGGACATCATGTTTGATATGGAATGCTTGGTCTCCCCCTGTTGTGGAAAGCAATATACGTTGTCTGAGGTTTGTGGCTGTGAAAAGATTAAGGAACATTATCTTTTCTTCATTATTCTAGCGTGTATAGGGTCTGAGTCCCATTAAGTCCTAGAAGACCCTTAATAAGACATGGTAGTTATTAATTGATAAAATAAAATGTTCCTTAATCTTCTTACAGCCACAAAACACAGACAGTTTTGCTTGTTTTTCAGCATAGGGGAAGATTTTCCCTTCAGAAGGTCTCTTGAGTTGTGAATAGCTCAAGTCCAAAGACCTTGGTGGAAAATCAGGACGCTGCAAGGGCTTTAGCAGAGCATTGCAATCTCTGTGGCCCCAAGCTGTGTACGCCACTCTTGTACACTTCGTTGCATATCTCCTCTGTGGGAGTGGAGAGTCATTCTGATTGCTCCAGAGCTGCTGTTGCTCGGCAGGATGACAGAGACCCCAGTGCCCACCCAGTCCATCCCATTTCCCACCAGTGACCAAACATGCCATACTAAAGATGATGTTCACTCTCCCTCTGCCTCCAGAAATTAGATGGATCAAAAACTGTTGGATCATGTATATATGAACAAACAGACTGACACTTGAGGACTTCTACAGATATATCACCGACTTCAGAGTGTCTACAGATGTAGAAAGCTGAAGAGGATGGTATTCTAATTCCTTTTATTCTGCTCTGGGGATAGCTAGGTATCAGCAAAAGGATGGAAGGACATTCAAAGGGGATCAATTTAGATTTTTCTACATTCATAGCCATTCATTTTTCTACAAAAGACCCTACTAGCACAGTGGGCATCTTGTCAAGCCAAAGACTGCTATAGCAGTAGGCAGGTGGAACGAGCTGAGCTTGTTTAATGTGATGAAGAGGAAGCTGAGGGGATGCCTAAAAGTGACCTGCAGCACTTGAAGGACAGAGCCAAACTCTTTGCAGTGGTACCAGATATAATAAGGGGCAACAAATAAAACTGTGCCTTGTGAGGTTCAAGGTGAATAACATGAAAAGTTTCTTCCCTAAGAGGATGGTGCAGCCTTGGGACAGGTCACTGGACAAATGGGGGGAATCATCATCCTTGAAGGCTTTCCTGGTTTGGCTAGACAAGACACAGACATCCTGATCTAGTGTTAGGGATAGTCCTGCGGTCGCTTCTTTCTAGGATTTTACCAGCATATTGAAGGCAAATCTTTTGGACACTCATAATTTTCAGTTACTGTTCTGTTAGCATCCTCTGTTTTTTTTCCTGCAGGGTGGGAAGATCCCAATACGGTGGACAGCACCTGAGGCAATTCAGTACCGAAAATTCACATCAGCCAGTGATGTGTGGAGCTACGGAATAGTCATGTGGGAGGTGATGTCGTATGGCGAGCGGCCTTACTGGGATATGACGAATCAAGATGTGAGTTCTTAAGAAACAAAGTGCAGAAACACTGAAATTGGGAGCATTGCAAGGCCAAAGCGTGGCTACAGCTAGACCCAGCCTGTGGCATGTCCAGAGCCTTCTCTGTCGTGGGAGATGTGTCCAAGGTCAACACCATTGGAGGAAGTGATGGGGATAACTTTGGCTTTTGTTCCCATTGTGCTGCTGTGGCCAAGGTTAGGGACTGAACAGCACCCACTGCAGTAGGACAGGGTTAATGTGAGCACCCTCAGGAGTGGCAGACTCGAGAGGAAAGGGAGCAGGCAGGAGGAAAATTAAATGCTGCCACTGACCTGAGAGCTCCTGGAGCCGCAAGCAGATCTTCATCTGCAGGGGATGACAGGCATTTGGTGAAAGTCTGGTATAGAGTCACAGAATGGTTTGAGTTGGAAGGGGCCTTTAAAGATCATCTAGTCCATGGTCAAGGACATCTTCCACTAGATGGTCCTTAAATCTCCCCAGGTAAGTTTGGACTGTGATGTGTAAGAAGTCAACCAACTTGTATGCAGCTAAAAGCCAAAACAAGGTATCTCAGAACATGCTTCATTTTAGTTACTTTTAGACTCTTCTCTAATTGGGGTGGAACTGTGGTGTGGACTCCTTGCTCCCAGAGGCCCACGCAATTTCCATGAGCCCTTGCCTCCATGTAGGGATGGCCTGTGAGCTCTTGCCTTCACCAAAGCAATGGTCTTCTCCCTGTTTCTTTTGACCTGATACCTGGGTGGTCAAAGCCCATCCATTCATGGCAATGAGTGCCATGCAGAGTGCTCCACTTGCACATGTCAGTCCAGAAGATCCCTTTGGTGTGGGGCTCCCAGCTCTCTTGTAACATTGTCTCTCAGTCTTTGACTCGTGAATCCTCAGGTTCCACCACCAATGTCCTGTGTAGATCCTTGGTGCACAGAAGGCTTTTCCTTCCACTCTGCTGGAAGCCTGGGTCTTGTAAACCTGCATGTTACAGCATCTGCCTGGCTTCCAGCTTGTTTCAGAGCTGCCTCTGGGCAGTCCATTGGAAGCATTCAGACTGCTACCTCCATCTCCATCATCCTGTGGGCTCCTGCCTTACAGGGACAGAGTGAGAGCCAAGCTGCCACCTGACTCCTGTAATCTGTCCTGCCCTGATGGCGAGTCAGACCTTTCTCAAGTCAATACAACTCCATCCATGCCATGTCAGGTTTCTCCAGAGTGTGACAATTTCTTCCCCAGTGCCCGGTGGGAAATTTATTCAAGTGAATCGCTAACACCTGGAGAAGATAGATGATATCTTACCAACCTCCACAGCCTTGCCCCAGCTCCTGGCATACCAGAAGAATCTTTGCATCAATTATTTGAGCCAAAGGGAAGAGATGTAGGGGTATGCCCTTCTTAGAAAGGACAATTCCATTCCTGTTAAGGCTTCATTATCACCTGCAGTTTCAAGCATTTCCTACAGCCAGGTATCACTGATCTTCTTCCTGCCTCGGCATCCCTCTGCACGTGTAGCCCTTTGCCATCCCCCTCCCTTGTCTTCTTCCCCTAGACCTCCTCCCTCATTGGTTTCTCCTGGCGCAACCCCAGTGTTGTGGCAGCACCGATTCAGCTGGCAGCGGTGGCAGAGCCCATGCCCGTCTCCTCGGCGCAGCCTGCTGCGTGGTGCCGCTTCCCAGCTGCTGCTTCCCCTTCTCTGCCGCAGGACATTGCACCCCAGAAACTGTCACCACTTAATTGCAGCTGGTCCTCCCTTCGAACCAGCACGTGGTGGGTGTTTGCTGCAGATTAGCCTCCTGACCCTGGGGTGTGAGTGCCTGGGGAGGCTGGTGGGGGAGAGGAGAGGGAGAGCGCAGCCTGTGCCGCCTCATGGGATGTGTCATCTGGCAGCAAGGCAGGCGGCTTGTCGGGAAACCGTGTGGTCCATGTCGTAGACGAGCTCTTGACGCTTGCGTGATGACCCTCCCCAGCCCTGCTCCCTCCCCCCTCCATCTCAGATAGGTCTGCCATCCAGAGAGCTGGGACAGGGGGCAGCATGCATCTCTTGAGAGAATCCCTGAACAGTAGCCAAGAGCTGCACAAACTGCACTACAAACTACACTAGTGATGCATCAGGTCAGACCTTCACAGGGCACCATCATGTCCAGCTAGGGGGTCAGAGGGAAGGGAGGGCTCCTTCCATGTGGCACATTTTGGCAGCAGCAGTGCCAACCCCCATCTGTCTTAGGTCAGCCTGCCCAGCACCTGGGCCATGCACACCAGTGTCTGGAGTGCCCTCCCAATCCATTCTCTGCCTGAAGTCAGTCCCTCTTAACCCTGCCAGATGCCCCACCCCACACCCTGGGTTACTTGGCATGACTCTGCCACCTACCCTCCCTTGGAGCAGCAGCCTTCTACTGCCTCAGCTCCTCCAGTGTCACCTCACTACCAGCCCTTCCCTGCTGCTCTCCCAACTGCAGTGTCCTCAATTTTCTCTACGTAGCCTTCCAGCTCAAAAATGTACTCACCACGCTGCTGCATGGGTATGGCCAGTCCTTCCCCAGAAGGGTGGTGCACCCCCAGGGTAGCCCACCAGACAGATTTCTGTCCTTGGAAGTGCACAAGACACAGCTGGACAGAACCATGGCAATCTCGATCACAGGGTGAGAGTAGCCAGAGACACCGAGGTCCTTCCTCTGGACCCCTGAAGGAGGTTCTGTACATCTCCCTCTCCTTTTTTGTCATCTCTGTGGAGAGTTGATCATTACAAAATGCTGCCCCTGATTTCAGTTACTGTAGTATCCTCAGTTTTGGCGTATATCCTCAGTTCTGGTTTTTGTTGTCATGCACAAGCCTGTTTCTAGTGTCCAAAGCTCCTTCTGCTTGTCTTTCATTGCCTGTGCTGTGTCTATGACCATGGGATGCATAGGGCCAAGAAGGTAGAAGCGTGCCTACCACGTGCCTGTGGCAGAGGAACATATGTCTCTGGAAGAAGCTGTGCAGCTCCATCCTCACTGATTACCCAGGAGAAGACAGAGTGCTACAGGTGCAGAGTCACAAGGAGATGGGGTCCCCCGTGAAGAAGATCCTCTAGGCCTTGTGCATGTGCTATTTCCACTGAACATTGCAAGACCAGGCGTTTTCCCTTGTCGTGTGGTGCAGTAAGGAGAGACCAAACAGGCAGCAGCAAAAGCCTTCTTGTGTTGTCCCACAGAGCTGCAGCGTGGCTTAGGCAAGGTGGGCTTCAACCCTTCTTGTCATGCTGCGGCAAAGTTCTCCTGGGCCTGGCTCTGCTGGCCAAGGCCTTGGTCCTCCCCACTGTGTGCTGCAGCTTACAGGGACACAGGATTGTGGGGAGCTCCAGCTCTTGTTGCTGCCTCGGCACACCCGGCCTCGTCCCATGGCATGGCACTGTCGCCTGGAAGGGCTGGGTTGTGGGCAGGAGTGGAAAGCACCACTGGAGGAAGGAAAGAACAGGGGCAGCTTCTCCTGTCTAAGTCATGAGCAGACACTTCACTGTATGGGGATGTCGTCCCAATGAGCTGTTGTGCTGTGCTGTGTGTCCATCGAAAAACATGAACCCTTCTCTCTCTGTCCCGCCTTTCTCACACCTGGAGCTGCGCTTTCACACATCCTTGTGAAGGTAGCAGGGATGCTCTCTTTTCCCAGATTAGGAGGCTGATGGGCATGGCTCACCACAAGTGGTCAGCAAGGCTGCATCACCTTACAGGACAACATGACATGCAGAGTGCTGGGAATTAGTGTGTTGCTGCAGGATCAGGTGGCTGAGGTGAGAGGCACTGTAGGTGTAGGCAGAGCTGCCCAGTTGCGGTGTGGTTGGCCCTGCCAGTCACTCTCAGGATCCAAGAAAAGGAAGGTTATGAATGAAGTAGATTTTACAGCCACTGTATTGATCTCTTTTTCTCCTCTCACAGGTGATAAATGCTATCGAGCAGGACTATCGGCTGCCACCGCCTATGGATTGTCCAAATGCTCTGCACCAGCTAATGCTTGACTGTTGGCAGAAAGATAGAAACCACAGACCCAAATTTGGGCAAATTGTCAACACCTTAGATAAAATGATCCGAAATCCTAACAGCCTGAAAGCCATGGCACCTCTCTCGTCTGGGTATGTACCTGTCTTCCTCTTGTCCTTTGGCTTCTCTTTGCAGCTCTGCTGTGCTTTGTGTCCTGGTGGGCGCCATCCTTGCATCTCTCCAGGCTAGCTGTTTTAGAGGCAGCTTGGCCTGTATTGTTTGGTCCTTTATAGGAAGAGCATTAAAAGATATCAAGGTCACTCTGGTCTCTCTCCTTGGGCAGGTTAGCTCTGGGGAACACAGACAGCTCACCGAGTTGGACAATGTACTCTGCACAGTTAAAAGAGCATCTTGGCTTCATGTACACATGATTGCTGGACAGGTGTGGTTGCTTTGGTAGGCCAGTCTCACGCACAGTAGAGGCAAATAAAGCCTTGTCAGGCAGTATGATGTTTCTATGGCCTGGGTGAGGATACACCAATTTATGGGAAGCACTGGCCCCGTTATGAGAATGTACTTTCTCCCCTTGTGCAGCCAGGACTTTGGAGCTACATCCTGTCATCTTTGATAGGATATCTCTCCTGTATGAACTGGTCCAGAAAGACTTCTTTAATGCTTTACACAATCCTTCTTCCAGTGGAGTAGAGTGCTTTCTGGGTGGTACTTCTTCATACAGTGTGATGCAAGCACTGTGAATGGTGCTGGTCCAGCTGATGGAGGGTGCAGAAATATGCATGCTTGATGCTGTTTGTTCTGCTCATTCCCCATTTCTGTGTTTCAGGATGAACCTCCCCCTACTTGACCGCACAATCCCGGATTATACCAGCTTCAACACTGTGGACGAATGGCTGGATGCCATCAAGATGAGCCAGTACAAGGAGAGCTTTGCCAGTGCTGGCTTCACCACCTTCGATGTAGTATCTCAGATGACTGTAGAGTAAGTGCCCAGGCTTCCAGTCCCAAAACACAAGGAAAAGTCTCAGTAGTTTAACAACAATTTGTCATTAGTGAATTAGTTTTTATTTTCACACGATGTAGTTTTAAAGAATTTGTTGCTTTGTGGATCCACTTTTAGTCTATTCAGTTTCTGCAGAACTGCTCTGTTCTGCAGGCTCTGTCTTGTCTCCAGACTGTGTCTGTCTGTCTCTCTGTATCTGCAGAGTCCATTTCTACACTATCACGCTGTGTCCCCCCACTGTGAAAACAAAAAGTCCCACAAGAGTCTCCAAAACACCAACATGGAACAAATGGAGAACTCAGGCCAGCATCAGCCAATTCTCCAGCCACTCAAGAGCACTTTTAGACTCCGCAGTCCTCTTGGATGTGTGGCTTATTGGAGATGGAGACAAGCACGCTGCAAACATATTTCTGCCTAAGAAAGGCCTCTGAAAGTCCAGATGGTTTCACGTTTGTTCTGAATTGTCCTACATCCATTGAAAACATCCCTCAGTGGCAAAATTCTAACAAGTTTTTCAGAGAAAGCAGGCAGCTGAAATCCATTTGTGGTGGTTTGTGCAGTCCCCTGGGGCTAGCTGGGGCTTTGGTGCCTCTGGTGAAAGATTTGTGGTTGGTTGCAGTTAGCTTTAGAAACCCTGCCTAAGAAAGCACCAAGCATTAAAGCCATCTGTAAGTGCTACGATGTCTCTGTGCCTTTTACCCAGGAAGGTTTTTGGATTTGGCACCTAATCCACACTAAGTCTACCAATGAATAAGAATCCATTCATGCCAACAGCCCTACTGACCTTTTCTGGCTTTTTTTCTCTTATCTGCTGCCAGGAAATTCACATGGCAATCCTGACTGTGTCAGTACATCTGTGGTACAGCCCCAAGACCCTGGGGGTGATTTTGGCACACTATAGGCTGTGTTCATACAACAGAAAGAGGGCCCGGAAATCTGAAGGATAGGGAAGAAGAACTTTGACCAAACTGGAACATCACACCCACACTGCAACTCAATGCTGCCTAGGTTTTGCTATTTGCGATATATATAACAGCAAACAGTTCTGCAGGCAGTCCAGCTAATGAAGTCTGCTTTTTTGTGGATGTGCTCAGTGCCCTGTAAATGCCACTTCTCCTGTGTCCCTCACAATATCTTTGAAGTCCTCTCTGAGTGCCTTCATCACAGTCACAAGGGTATCCTCAGCTCATGTCCCCACCAGTTTTGACAAACCTCCCTTCCACATTTCTCACCTGCCTGGCTGGACCTAATAACAGAGATGAGGACTTAATAACAGAGATGAGGACACTCCAAGTCCTTTTTCCTCGGGAAATCATTCTGCAACGTTAATTGAAACCACCTTCTTAATATTTGCTGGTCTTTGCAGAAGTAGGTAATCATGTAAGTGGAGATGAATTGCCATGAGACACTGTTTTCTTCAAATTCAGAAAGCCAGCAAAGTCTAAATGTTTACTGCAGACTGCTTCAGTTCACCCAATCCACATGGTTTCAACATTGTCCTACTTGAAAGGTTTCTCACTGGTTTGTCTGCAGGCTGGGTACACCTGGGCCACCAAAGGATCTATGCCCAGGGCAGAAAGCTTAGGAAGCACGGGGCCGTGCAGGGTTACAGGTTTTGCCATGCTCCCTTTTAAAAGTCTGTTCCTAACCCTTAAGGAAGGAGAAAAGGCAGCTGAAAATCCTTAGAGTCAGGTATGGGTCATGTCTCATGAATGCCATTCCCTTATCAGAAGAATTGTGACTGATCAAAGCAAAAATAGCAAGAACAGTCATTTGCACAGGAGGAGTGAGATTCACATTGATAAGGGTGTAACAGACCCTGTTCATATGTCTCCAGGGATGGAAAAAATGGGTTACTGTGTCACAGAGAGAGAATCCAAACATGTGAAGAAAGAAATAAAATTATTCAAGAGTAGAAAATCTGAGGCTTTAGAAAGACAAATTCTCTTAGAAACAGTGATTAGAGCCTGTGGTATTTGGTTTCACACTCTCTGTTGAGGCATCCAGTGCTCTGGGAGTGCTGCAGATATGCAGCAAATGCAAAGACTGAGAGGATAAGCCAGTAAGAGTCAAAGAGTAGAAGTTTCACCAGGTTTGCATGCATTAGTTGCATTTATGAATAAATCTGTGGAGACTTCATCTCTCTACACACCAGGCTCCAGGGGGCATGCTCATACATGGGCTTGTTCTGCTGTGAGAAAAATGTCTTCTGATATTTATGTGGTGTTTGTTTCTTTTCCTCCCAAAGGGACATTCTGCGAGTCGGGGTCACTTTAGCAGGACACCAGAAGAAAATTCTGAACAGTATCCAGGTGATGAGAGCACAGATGAACCAAATTCAGTCTGTGGAGGTTTGATAGCTACGTGTCCTCCTCCTCCTCTTCCTTGAGACCCTGCTCCCCTTTGCCCCTGTATGTCCGAGCTCCAGTTCTTAAGTGTTCTGCATGGACCAGAGACAGGCAGCTGCTCTGAGGATCATGGCAACAGGAAGAAATGCCCTGTCATCAATAACGAGAAGTCACCAAGAGCTTCTAGAATTTAAGCAATGGAAAAAGGGAACAAAAAAAAAGACAGCTATTTTGAAAAAAAAAACAAACCTATGAAATATTTTTAAATAATAATAATAATAAAGCAATTGCATTCTTGAAAAGGGCTCCAAGATCAATGGGAGTCTCCAAAGGAAGAAAAAAAGAGCAGCTTCATCTATTTCCTCTTGCACAAGGCTGCTGCAGCTGGGCCCTGACACCTCTGGAGCAACGAGACTTTGTCAAGAAGATGAATGCAAGGGAAGGTCACGAGAAGCACTTCTCTTTCTCAGGTGGGATGGCAGCTCTGGATTGTCCTGCAGCCAGCAGTCCTTCCTGAGACCCCTGTTAGCAGATCAAAGGGGAGAGAGAGCCGAGTCTCTGGTGCTGTGGAACCAAGTGCATCTCAGAAATGGATGGACTTCTTCAAAAGCTGAAGACTTTTTTTTAAAAAAAAACAAACAAATAAACTGAGACTAGAAGAGTCTGTTTCCAACAAATAAGAAGGAATCTGTAATGCTTGGGGGGGTGGGGATGGGGAAACCAATCCTTTTTACATCTCTTATTTTCTCTTGTCATGGAACAGTTTTGTGAGTGACAGTTTCCTAAGGGTCCGTCCATCCACCCTCCAATGGCATCATTGTCTCATACATATCATATGCACAAGACTTTTAGTGATGTCCTCACTAGATGCCAATGATCTTTTCCCAGAAGACTTCCCGAGTACAGTATGTAGTAGTTTTTGATTACAAATGCTGATGTGTACCTTTATTTTTCGGTTGTCATTGTTGGGAGATTTGTCCTTTTACCTTGTTTTGTTAACACCGGTTTGTGAGTTTGGGGTTGGAAATTTTTGGTTGGTTGGGGTTGGTTTTTTTTAATAATGAAAAAGAAATGACATCTCCAAGCATCATATCATTCAAGAACTGAAATCCCTTCCCTGTGGAAGGAAAAATTGCAGCTTATTGACAATGTGCCAGGAGAAAAATTTTTTTATATGCACATTTCCTCCCGTTTGCTTGTTTGTTATTTTGCAATTTGTCATGGCCCGACAGCTGTTCCTGACTGTTGGGTTCCAGTTGTTCGCCAAGATGAAATGACCGCCTGCGCGATTCAGGGTTGCTGGTGCAGGGGTGAGCAGCATCACAGAGGGTGTGGGGGGGGATTGCAGGGATGGGGGAAAGACAGGGGAGGGTGGTGGGTTTTGGGAGGGAATGATGACTCCACAGCTGCCTGTCAGAGCCCCTTGGAAATGTCTGACTGCTTAGAAAGGTGTCAGGTTGGTGCAGGTACCGCAGACAGGCAGGGTCAGCCCGGTCCTTGAAGAGGAGCTCGTGGCACATGGTTTGTCGGGGTCTGAATTGCGTTGGCTGCCAGGTTGTGGATGGTTCACTACAGTAACCAACTCCACGGATGTGCTCTGTGCCCTCTGGGGACCTGGTCCCTTTATTAGACAACGTCCTCTGGGGCAGCTTCAGCCTCAGCCAGGTGCCTCCAGGAGAGCCTGGGACAGCAAAGGCAAAACCTCCAGTCTAGTAGCCTGGGTCTCTGGACACAAAATGCTGTGGTTGAAGCTGAGTGGTCAATTAGTGGATTTACAAATAACTGAAATAAATATGTTAGTTACTGAGCAGGTCTTTGGTACGTGTAAATACCACCCACCAAGCGCAGGGGGGATACAAATGAGAATTGGGCTTGTTCTCCCTGTTCAGCACCATCTCGTATCCGTTTAAAATGCCTACCACCATCCACCTTCCTCTGGCCACGTGTGGCATATTTCCACACGTCTCCTGGCCATGGCCACCATAACTTGTGTTTACAAGCCTTTGTCTGCCTTTGCCATGTAATTCGTAGGGTCCTTCACTCGTTTTCAGCAGTGTGGGATGTTGAAGGCGTGTTCACTGGGAGCTGGTTTGCTGTATTTTCCAGGAGATGAATCTAAGAGGAAGGGTGTCTGCTGTGGATGAAACTCCCAAGCTGTCTAGACCTCTGTGGCCAGACATCAAGTCCCTAGACTGCTTGTGAAATACGAGGCCATTTATAAAATACTTTGCATTATCCACTTTCAGACCAGATCTGACAACACAGCACTTAGGAGTGGCCGCAGACGATTCCCTACAAGTGAGAGTCACTTCTCTGCTCAGCTCTTGCACTGTCCCAGCAGCAAACTGTCCCAGTTTGGTGCACAGCTCCAGCAGCAGGGGCCTTAACTGGAGGAATTTTTTCTTCCAGCCCCTATTCATCTGCAATCTCTACTGCAGGATTGTGTTTTCATTTGTATACAGTACTTCACATCCAAAAGCGCATCAGTAGTCGTGTGAGCATCAGTAGCAGGTGTGTGCTGGAGGCACAGGGACGTGTTCTGCACTCAGTGTCCGCAGTGCATCCCCTCTGACAGCAGTGCCATTGCCCTGCATCTCTTTCAGATGGCAGAATACAATGTAGAGTGAGGGGTGAGTGGACTGTAGGTATGTCATATGCAGGTGTGCCTGGACATAATCTGCTGTGTCCCTAGCATCCAGACTGTTTTAGCCTTTGTATCTAGCAAAGGGATGCTTTTAATACCTTTGCATTTAGAAAGCACTGCTCCTGATCAAGAAATGGACTCAACTTTTAAAAAGCAGCTCGCAAAAAGTGATGGTGCTGACTAAACCGCACAAAGTGCTTGCAGAGGGCACACAGAGAAACAGGAAGCTTCTCTGTGCGCCCTGTCCTGTAGAAGTGTGCAGCAGCAGTGAGGACTGCTCACACGGTGCGTCTCCGTCCCACATTGTAGTTGCTGTACTTTAACAAGGAGCAGTTGTGAGTCTTTCCCAAAGGCATGTCTGAAACTGTTTGTTGGCAGTCTAGGGTGAGGGAAGTGTGGTGCTCTGCCAAATTGTCTCGCCACAGCCAACCGGTGACTGTATGTACAAGGGAGCTTTGCAAGGAGAGCTGTCTGTCTAGAAAACTCACCAGCAAATTCCTGTGGGGCAGCCATGTGGAAGGAGCACATGATGCCCTTCGGTTGTCCTCCCAGACAATCCTTGACTGTTCTCCGCCATCCCTTACATTCCTGCAGACGCTGAGGAGAAGCAGTGGCCAGGCAGCTTCCCTTCAGAGTACATCAGTATTAGGCAGGGCTTGGAAGGCACTTCAGGTCTTCTCCATTTGGAGACATTTTGTCTTAATGCACTGACTCTCCTCGCTGGCTGGCGTTAGACACATCTAGCTACCAGACCCAGCCCACTGTGAAGGATGGGACCATACCGAGCTCAGTGCCACAACTCACCAAAGCCATGGCAGCTGTCTGCAGGACAGAGAAAGCACATCCTTGTCTCTTCTTCTGACCAAAAATCACATGGTGTTGGTACTAAAAGTAACACATTCTCATCTCTTTATACCAGGCATTGCTGTGACATCTGTCTGTATTTGACTGTGTAGGACTAATGGAGAAATGGACCTAAAATAGAAATTATCTATAAAACACTGCATTTTTCTGCATCCCTCAAGATCTCTTGGGAGCATAAGGAACCAAGTTCCTGTAAAGTGCTTTGGATGTAAATGGCTCTGGAGCATGCTCCAGTGGAGGGCAGAGTCACTGAAGTGACTTTAACATATTTATTTCATGGCTATCAAATGTACTGCTATGAAATACGAGTCTAACAGCAAAATTCAACTTCATGGGGAGAACATATAACAAGGGGAAAAGGCACTTCCTAACATTGACACTGTGAAATACTATTGTGCATGTGCATGTGTGCGTGTGTGAATACTTAAAAATTATCACGAGATTTTTCAGACAGCTTGTTGTAATTTTCACATTTCCTCTCCGCCTTTCAAGCTACCTCCCAGTCCTACCCTTCTCCTCATCTCCCACTGCTGTCTGCTGCTGAGGGTTGCCCATGTCTGGTGATGGCAGCCGGCTGGGGAGCTGAACAGGGTGCTAGGTTGAAAATACTGAGTTGTTTGGCAAGTGATAAGTTCAAATAATGCAGAGCACCATGGGGCAGAGTGGAGAAAGCAAAGCATATGTGGATAGTAA